CCTGGGGGGCTCAGTCATGAAGCATCTGCCTCAGGGTCCTGGGATCAAGTCCCGTGTCTGGCTGCCTGCTTGGTGGGGAGCCTGCTTCTCCATCTCCATCTTCCTCTCTCCCTGGCTGGTACTCTGTCTCTCTGTCTCTCCCCCTCTCTCAAATAAATGAATAAAATCTTTAAAACATTAAAAAAAAAAAAAAAGGAAGAACAGGAGAAAGAATGATGGGGACAGGTAGCAGTGTGTACTGAGCACAGGGCTGTCCTGAGCTGGGGGCCTCCAGCCCCTCCTGCCAGCGGTTCTCTCCATCGGTCCGGAGCCACCTGTCTCCCACGGTCGGCTTCCGGGGGAGCGGGGGCTCTTGCACTGGCCTGAGGAGAAGCAGCTGCTCCCATCCTGTAGGACCTCTGAGGGTTATGGTAGAATAGGTCGTATCACAATATTTTTTCTTTAAAATGTTCATTTTAGGGGCGCCCGGGTGGCTCAGTCAATTGAATATCAGACTCATAATTTCGGCTCAGGTCATGATCTCAGGGTCCTGGGACTGAGCCCTGCGGCGAGCTCCCTGCTCAGTGGGGAGTCTGCTTCTCTGTTCCTCCCCCTCTCCATGCTGCCTCTCAAATAAATAGATAAATAAATCTGTTCTTAAAAAGTCCATTTTATCTCATTATGAAATAAAACTTGCTTATGGGTAACAGCTCCTGAAAACGGTCTCCAAAACCAAACCGTAAGTTTCTCGCCATGCCCAGAACATGCCGGATACCTGACGTTCAAAGTCCGTCGTGGGCGAAGGAGAAACGCCAGCGAACCCCAGGGCTCTGCTTCCGTCTGCCGCCCGCGAGCCACATGCTCCCTCGAGCGTCCTAGGCTCCCCACAGCTCTTCTCCCACGGCCCGGTGGGCCTGACATCTCCTGTAAAGGGCTTCAGGGAGGGAAGCTTGGGGTGACTCCCCTCAGGGTTCACAGGACATGCTCTCCAGGGGAGACGGACGGGAGACGCCGGGTCTGGGAGGGTCCAGAACAGAAACACAGCACCTGGCCTTTGCTGAGCGCGCTGCGCACCCAGCACCCATGAAGACCCGCCCGCCTCCCGCCGGACCCCCTCCGGGGATATGGAGACCAGGCGCAGCCGGGGTCACGTGCCCAGAAGTGCGAGCTGGGGACCAGCACAGCCTCCAGGACCCATGTCCTCCCCACTGCAGTCTCGGGAAGATGGTTCCCCCAAAGAGAAAGGCCCATGTCCAGGGATCCCAAGACCGGGTGCCCTGGGGTGGGCCCAGTGGTCGCCTGCAGCCCCAGGATGACGATTTCACTGCAGCCCTGGGCCAGCCCTGCCCTGTAGGAACGGGAAGGGTGTTTGCTGTGGGAGGAAAGCACCCCGAGGACAGGGCCCCACACTTGGGCCAGCCAGGTGGCCGCTCACATGCAGAGATGTGGGCATTTGGTGGGGTGGCTGGAGACCTCAACTGACCCAGTTCCTTAATCCGTCACTAACACCATCTGTGTGTGCTCCTTCCGGTTTTGTGCGGAGGGCCCTCCCCCGGGCAAGCGGCAGGGGCGCAGGCTTTGTGCACGTTGACCCCTGAGCCCCAGTGGGCCTGGGAGGCCGAGTGCTGGCCTGCCCGGACCAGGAGGCAGGCCCAAGCCAGGCTGGTTGGGGGCATAGCCCGCAGGGCCCGGGGGCCCTCCTTCCCCCACTGGGGTGGGGGTGTTACTCCTTTACTGGCTACATACGTTATTCTGGCAATTGTCAGACATGCAAACCCCTCCGTGGACCCAAGGCCCAGCCTCCAGCTCTGCCGTGGCTTCGTGCAGCAGCCCCTTCTTTTCTCTCTTGCTGGAAGAGATTTCAAGCCAACTCCAGACGTCCTACCGTTTCGCCCATCAATAGTCTTCTCTAGTCAAACGGAAAACACATCTGGACTTCGCATTCGAAAGGATGGTGGTGGTCCCGCCTCTGCAGCCTCTGCTCACCCAAACCAGCAGACCCCGCGGCCCCCCGCGGCCCCCCGTTGAGAGTGGGGTCAAGAGTCAGGGTCCCCGCCCAGGTGCGTCGTCCCGGCAGGTGCCCACCCCAGCCTCCCTGCCCGCGCCCCACGGCCTCTGCGGGAAGCGGGCATGTGGCGGCCAGCTGCCGTGGTCTCCAGGGAGCGCGGGCTCAGGCACGGCTCCCTCTGCCCTCCGTCTCCCGCGGCAGGGACTGGTCAGGGGACGGCGCCCCCAGAGCTGAAGTTCTCTGGCAGCTGCTTTTCCAGTCAGGCCCAGAGCCGGGGCTCCCGCAGCAAGAGCACCGACGGGATGGTGTTTTAGACCGGGCTGGGGGGCCCTCTTCCCACAGGAGAGCTGGCCACGGCCCTCAGGAGCTTCAGCCTTCCCAGGGGCATAGGGAGGAGGCGCTCCGGAGAGACTGGGGACTGGCTGGCCCGTGGGGTGCCGGTCGTGGGGTGCCCGCCCGTGGGGTGCCAGATTTTGTGTGCTGGACGACCGTGGCTGTTAGCTTTGAGCAGGGGGGCTCTGGCCAGTAGGGCGGTCGGGGATGTCAGAGCCCTCGGAGTGGGGAAGTGACACAGGTATCCAGCTGCCTCCTGCTCCAACATGGGGGGCTCAGGCAGACGCTGGGCCGAGCAGCCAGCAGCCGTAAACCCCAGACCCTCTGGCTGCTGACCATCTCGGCCACCTGGGGTCCCCTCCTTGTTTCTTCCCTCCCCCACTTCCTGGGGTGGTCATTCTTACCTAGCGTGCCCCACACGGAATACTTGCTGTCCAGTTTCATTGGACCCAAAATATCCTTGGCTGGGGTACTGCCATCCCACTTGTATCCAAGTGCACACATCCCCTGGTCTGGGTCTCCCCTGGAGCATGAGTGCCAAGACCCACACTGCTCTTCAGGGCAGCTGGGAGAAAGTGCATGGCAGGGAGTGAGGCCGGGTCCTGCCCCCCACCAGGAGAGGAGCAGAACTTACGGGGAAGGAAGGAGGAGCATCCCAGGATGTCTAGGCAGGCAGGAAGCTGGGCTGGTTTGGGGAAACAGGGTGCTGAGTACTAAAGAAGTGGGGGCAGGAGTGTTAGCTCCCTGGTAGGCACGGTGACAGGAAATAGGAAATGGGGTTCAGACCCAAAGAAGACTCAGAACGGGAGGGGATTCAGGGAGTCATTCACTTTGGTGGCAACCTGCCAAGGAAGGAAGCGGCAAAGACAGGAGGGGTGGCTTGGGGAGGACAGGGACAGGCACCCATCCAGCAGGTGCCATGAGGGTAAGTCACCTGATCTGTGGACTTAGTCTCTGCAGGAGAAAGGATGCTTGCTTGTCCCAAGGAGGTCAGAGCACGGACGAGGGGAGTTGGAAGAAGGGACACGGTCTTTCAAAAGCAAAATGTGGTGAACTCCGCTGAGCTTGAAGGGTTTCCCCAGAGCCAGGACCTTTGGCAGAACTGGCCTCTGAGGTTAGGTGCAGGGGTGCGCCAAGTTTCCTGCAGTCTCCCTGGGTCTGGAGAAGCATGAGGACGTCTGGACGGACGCCTCCAGCTGGGGGCAGAGTATCTTTTTCTTTTCTTATGATTTTATTTATTGAAGACCGAGGAGACAGAGAGTGAGCACGAGCAGGGGGAGCAGCGGAGGGAGAGGGAAGAGCCAGTCCCCGCCGAGTCGGGGGTGTGACTCGGGACTCCACCGCGGGACCACAGGACCTGAGCAGAGGGCAGATGCTTGACCGACTGAGCCACCCAGGCACCCTACGAAAGTATCTTAAATCCGCCCCCCGCTTCTCACATTTCTAAACCAAAGTGCACAATAGCTTTGGCAAATTTTCAGTGGTTTCCCCCATTTGACAAGTGGCTTAGACATGGTTTTCATGCCCCAATATTGAGGTCTCAGAGCAGAGTAAAGGGCCGGGGACCGGGGCTGCTGTGGAGCGTCAGGGAGTGCCTGACGAGCTGCTTCGGGGGGACGGCTCTGTCCCGAGTAGCAACCACATGGAGCCGTGTGCCTGAGCTGCTAACAGCACCTGGCCGTGACCCCCGCTCCCAAGATTCTGACCCAAGTTTGGGAAGAGGCAGCCGAGGAGGGAGCCCTGACTTCTGCCTCCTGTGGGGAGCACAGTACATCCCGAGCTGTTAGCCTCGCGTCACCCACCCTGGGGGCAATCCCGCTAGGCGAGGCGGTGCATTGTACCCCCATCTGCTGCGCCGCGGGAGCCCCAGCCAGCCAGAGGTTTTCCCAGGCAGGGCTCCCCGGGAGTGGAACCCAGGCCCCAGTCTGAGTCTGCTTCGGGAAGGCAGGAAGGAATGGGGCAGGCCCCCAGGTGGGTGCAGGGATTAGGATCTCATCAATGGGCTGTTCTCAGACCGCAACCGTAAGCTGAAAAAGAGCAAGTGCAGAATAAGACTCGCACCTTTCTGCAGAAAGAAAGTAAAACATGGGTCGCAGGTCAGAACTCTGAGCTTTGGACCTGCCCCGCAGGGCCGTTTGGGGGTGTCTCTGAGACATCCAACTGGATTCCTAAAGGGAGTGACGGGGACTCCTGATGGCCCACCCAGCCTGGGGGTGGGCGTGCACCCCATCCCACACCCAGGCCCCTCCGCCAATCACCCCATCCCTCCCCCGGAGTGCCCCCCCACCCCATCCGGCTCCTGGGTGCCTCCCCACACCCCATCTGGCGTCCAGGCGCCCCCCCCACCCCTGCCTACACTATCCGCCCCCTTCACCCCACCCGCCGCCTCGTGCTCCCAGCACACCGCATTCCTGCCCCCAGATGCTCCCCCACACCGCACCCCGCCCCAGCGTCCTCCCCCGAACCCCATTTCGCCCCCGAGGAGCCTTGATCCCGCCCCCTCCCACCCCGCACCCCTCCCTCCAGGCCTAACCCCTCCCACGCTCCCGGCTCCCGCAGCTCCGGACACCGCCCTCCTCCCGGGCCGCAGGAGCAGGTGCAGCCCCGCCCCCGCCCCTCCCTCGCCGCCCCTCCCCCTGCTCATCCTTTGGGCCCCGCCCACCGCCCCGCCTCCCGCGCCCGCGGCCCGGCGGAAGGACACGCGCTCCGATCCCGGCAGGAGGCCTCGGCCCCCGGCGCCAACCCCGCGGTTCCTGCGCTCCTGGGCGCCCCCTCCCCGCCCTCCCGGCATGGAGTCCGCGGGGCGCGCCCAGGACCGGGTCCCCAGGTGGGTGCGTGGGGGCCGGACGCGCCTCGCCCAGCGTGGGGTGCGGGATGGGGATCTGGGGTTTGGGGTGCGGGGGGTGTGGGGCCGGGGTCCTCCCGCTGCACTCGTCCCCCGGCCCCACGCGCGCTGGCGGCCTCGCCCCCGCGGGGACCCTGGGCAGGGCCACGGGGCGCACGTGCGCGCGAAACTTTGGGGCTCACGGGTTCCTTTCCTCCTGGGGCCGCAGGGTGGACCCTTACGGGTTTGAGAGGCCTGAGGACTTCGATTACGCCGCTTATGAGGAGTTCGCTTCCGCCTACCTGGTCGTGCTCACCAGAAGAGCCATAAAATGGTCTAAACTTCTGAAGGGGAGGGGCCGCGTCCAGAGAAGTGGCACAGGTGAGTGGGGCCGGCGGCCTGCCCCGAGCGCTCCCCCGGGCGCACAGCCGCGACCTCGCTAGAGCTTGCTCTGGGAAGGCGCAGGAGACCCGTCCCTCCCCCTGAGATGGGGACCCGGCCTTCCTTCCAAACCGGGGACCCGATCTGGGGTGGGGTGCTGGCTGGCAAGAAAACCGCTGTCCTGCTCTCCAGGGAGCGAGCGCGGTTCTCCCTTGGCCTGTACCCGCAGGGAAGCCTTCCCTCCCGGCTCCCCTCAGGGCGAAGCCCACCTCATTCCAGGCCTGCTGCTGCCACCTGTTCCCCCCAGGAACACCTGGCCTGAGCTTGCCTCTCTGGGCTTCTCCCCTCCTCCAGGCTTTGACCAGGATGCCGCCTCCGGGAGGCCCTCCCAAGCTCCTATCTGGGATGGCTGGTCCTTCCTGTTACACCACACAGCCCCGCAGGCCTTCCCTCTCTGGCCGTGTGGCTGGGGCCTGTCTGCTTCTGTGTGTCCCTGCTGGAGTCAGGCCCACACCTGCGGAAGGGGACGGTCTCTGTAATAGCTTCAGAATTTGTTGAAGGAATGAAGGAAGAAGTGTTTGTCTGCCGGGTTCCCCAGGCTGCCGAGAAGGGACGGGTGGGACCTGCCGGCTGGAGCCGAGGGCATTGGTAGGTGTGTGCTTCCAGGAGTTAAGATAAGGGACCTTCTGAAATAGGACTTTATGACAAAGAAGGGATGAGGGCGGAGGGCAGCTGCTGGGCCAGAACCGTGTGACCAGAACCGGGATGGAATGCCGGCGTGCTGGACTTGGAACCAGGGTTCAGTCACATGACCAGGCCTAGAGAGGCCACCTGTAAAAGGGTTTTTAAGCAAGGGGGTGACAAGAACCATTTTTGCTTGTAAAGGGGTTAGTGAATAGGGCCCAGAGTGGTCCCGGTGCACAGGCAGGTGAACAGGAGGGTTGGCGGAGGCACTTTGATCTTCCTGGGGGGGGGGGGGGGGTGGCAGTCGTGGGGGAGGGAGGCTCTTGCTTGACACAGGGCCCCACCACCAACATGCTTCCCCCTGCTGGGCCCCCCCCCGTGGCTGTCACTGATGGGGGAGGGTTTGGTAAGCACTGAGGTAAGCTGGCCTCATTCCTGGGGGGCTGGCGGGGGGCGGGTGCCAGGGGGCTTGGGCTGGTCCCTGTGGCCCTGCCGATCCTGGAGGCCCGTGCACTGTGTGCCTCCTCCAGGGGCCAGAACGGCTTCCCCTACTGTCCTCTGTGTTACTATGTTTCCAGAGCGTATCTGCTTTTGTTTCCTTCTTTATTTGTTCTTGAAAGTTGACTGGTCTTTTGTCCTTAAAAAATGTACAAGTGTATGAAGTAAACACAATTTATGGACGGGGTAAAACTGCAGTGAGGGGGCGCCTGGGTGGCTCATGGGTTAAAGCCTCTGCCTTCAGCTCAGGCTATGATCCTGGGGTCCTGGGATCGAGCCCCGCATCGGGCTCTCTGCTCAGTGGGGAGCCTGCTTCCTCCTCTCTCTCTCTGCCTGCCTCTCCCCCTACTTGTGCTCTCTCTCTTAAAAAAAAAAAAAAAAAAACTGCAGTGAAAGGTGTAAAGTCACCCCGACCTCCTCTCCAGGCCCAGACCCTTGCGTGAGGCAGAGGCGATGGTCAGGACCGCGCTGTGTCTCCGCGGGAGCACGGTGCACGCACACACGCGTGCAAACACCACGCGTGCCGACAGCCGCACGGCCCATTGGCCTTCATGCAAGAGAAGGCCTCCCGGCCGCCACGGCTGGCTCCGCAGGGCTGACAGTGGCTGGGGACCGTGCCCTCACTGTCCGGGTGTGTGCGGAAGCCTGTTTTCACGTGAAGCGCAAATGCGCCTTCGTCTCCTGACCTTTGGTTTTATCATTTGGTTCTAGCGAGTCTCGTCCTTCCCTTTGAATGAGGTGGGCCCGCTGATGGTCTGCGTGGCCTCCCGAAGCCACGCTCTGTGTCCCGTGTCTGTTTTCCAGCATCTGTTCTCTCCAGCTGGAGCAGGAGTGAGAGCAGCTGGGTGCAGAACCTTCCAGATGCTTGTCCTTCTCTCGTGGTTCAAAGGTCTCGTCTCGTTTTTGCGGCTGCCCTCTTTCAGCACCTGTACCTGTCGGCTTTAAGGGTGGAAGTTGGTTTTATTGAAATACTTGATTTTTGCTTTACTGTTTCTTTGGCTCAGTGACGTTAGCGTGTGATTGTGCTGACGAGTGTGAGCAGCGCCGCAGGTCTGGACGCAGGAATGCCGGGTTCCTGATGCGCCTGCCGCCTGGGCCCTGGCGGGCGGTGCCTGTGGCCTGCTGTCTTCAGGAAGCGGGGCACGGACCGGTGCGAGGTGTGTGGGTCACCCAGTTCCGTCACGCTGGGCGTCGAGGCTGGTGCTTGGTGTGCAGGTGGGAGCTGTTGGGCAGGAACAGGGATGCGTGAGTCCTTCCAACCGTGAGACTCAGTTCTCCCGCCAGCTCCAGGCTGATGGCAGTGTCGTCGGGCGTGTGGTGTCCCGGGGAGGCGGCGACGTGAGGGGACCAGCGGGTGCCCGTTCACAGCCCGGGAGCTGTTTCAGAGCCCCCCTGGCTTCCCCTGCATACCCCACTTTGGTACCGTCCTGGGACCGAGTTTTGTTTCGCCATCCCGCTGTGGGGTGCCGTTTTGGACGCCTTTCATCTGAACGCCAATCTTCGGGTCACCAGTAACACGGTGACCTCTGGATCTTGGTGTCAGCCACGTCTGCAGAGGGCAGCCGGGACTTCCGGCTTGACTGCACATTCGTGGATGCGACAGACGCGATGAAGGTCTGCTTTGTCCTCTGTTTTCGTTCCCTGTGGAACAGATATCCGCTGGGGACCGTGAGACCGCTTCTTCCCCCTCTGCCTAGGAACGCACAGTTGGGCAAGCTCAGCCCGGCCTGAAGCGTCCTTTGCTCCTGCTCCGGCCCACGTCCCTGGGCCCAAGCACCCGGCGTTCTTCTGCTTCCCATCTCCTTCCTCGTGGCGTAGAGAATCAGCACCATCTAAGTTAGACTAAATTGCAAAAACAGACTTTCAAAGGCAAATACCAAAGAACACGGGGATTTGCTGCACCTTCTTTAGAGAGGCACTGCCCGCACTCCCCGAGGTCAGGGATGGGTGAGCCCCTCCGGGGAAGGTCAGGCTCTGGGCGCAGGGAAGCTAGTTTCATTTTCTGCTGAAGAAACGGTGTGACTCCAGAGAACAAGCAGCAAAAGTAGCAGAAACCTTTGTCCTTGGAAACTGTTGCAACAGCTCTGACCCTTGACGTCCTGGCCCGGTGGGGGTCTCACTCCAGGAAGGGGTTCAAGCATTTTGCACTTGCTTTTCTTCTATTTAAAAAAAGTTTTAATTTGCAGGGAGAGTCACTCTTACCTGTTTACACTTCTGTGAGTTTAGACAAACGCACAGAGCCCTGTGTCCCTCCCAGCAAGACTGAGAACAGTCCCCACCTGCTGCCCGTCCCTCCGGGGCCCGAGGCTGGCTCCTGCCTCACGCTGCTTCGGCGCTGCGTCCCCAGTGTTGGGTCTGCTGCTGGTGGTTTGGGTATCGCAGAGGAACATTCTGGGTCCGGTGACTATGGGCTGTGGCTGAGTGTGGCGGGCAGGCGATGTGGGAGAGGCGACCAGCCAGCGTTGTGAACCGCGGAAAAGGGCTGCTGGTAACGGTGTGGACTGTGCGGGAAGCCGCAGCCTTCCCGCTGTGGTCACCAGCCCAGCCTCCCCCCGCCTTCTCGAGCCGTGCCTGTCACCTGCCGCCTTGTGCGAAAGGCTTTCCGGCCTGCAGGACATCGCTTCGCAACTTGGTCAGAAAGCTTGTGCGGGGCCGGTTCTGGGTTTCATGTCCTCCGTTCCCCTCCATGTCTGTGTTTCCACCAGCCCCACATGGTTGGTGCTACCTTGAACGCGGGCAGGGACTCTGGCTTCCCCTCGAGGGGACGTTCCCTTGTTTGTCCCTAGGACTTTGGGCACCAGGTCACAGCGACACATCGGGTGAAAGTTCCAGTGGTGTGTCGTTGTCCTGTGTGTCTTTCCCTTTTGGGGCCCCCCGGTGTGGGCCGCGCCCCCCCAGCAGGGCATCCAGGTGAGGGCAGCTCCTTCGGTAGAAGGTGCCAGGCATGGTGGGAGGATGCCCGCCGGAGCCCCTCGTGCGCACATGGCCCGCACATCCACTGTCCTGGTCCTGCGCTGGAAGAGGACACCGGCTCAGAGGCTGCTGCCTTGGGGGCAGAGGGGGCTTCTGGTGGCCTGGGGCTTTCCCTGAGCAGCGTCCCTCTGTCCCCGGCCGTGGTCGCGCTCAGCCAGGAGGCGCCGCGGGCCCTCCTCCGGGAGCCCATGCCGGGCGCTTGCGGTCGTGGGACCCTGTGGGACTGAGCCTGCGTTCCTCCGGCGATGCTTCCCGGGGCGCGCGGTGGGCGCCCCCGGTGTTGTTCTTCCCACAGTGGACGGTGGAGCTTCTTTCATTATAGGACCTTTTATTTTTTCTTAAAGTCTTTTTAAAAAATTTTATATATTTTCAAGTGCGTTTCTTTTTTAAGAATACTTAAGCTGCTTACAACACTCGATGAGAGGAAAACAACAGTGCTTTGAGTGTTTCCTTTGAAAATGAGCTGTTTTGAGGGTTAAATTAAGATCATTAAAAGCGTAACGTGGTGCCCCCAGTCACTGTAATTCATTTGACTGTTAGCGTCAGAAATCTTTCCCACCTACCTGGGAAATGAGTGATTCATTCAGGTAGCTCCGGGCTTTTGGCTTCTTTTCCTGTGTTTCTCTGGCCATTAGGAAATAAGTGATTACTTTTTCACATACTTATCAGCAAAAATATTCCTCCCAAACCAGTTTTGCACTTACACAGAGCAGCTGTAGGACAGGAGGATGGTGACCGCTGCCGCTGAAACCCCCAACCCAGCGGGGCCATGCAGACCCCAGCCCCAAAACCTGCTGGGCCTCCTCCCTTGCTCTGGCTCACGCTTGTGCTTTCCTGAGCCACCATTTGACCTCGGTCCCGTTTCCCAGTCATCCCAGGGCTGGGCCATGTCCCTCAGCTGCCGTCCCCGCGCACAGCCTCTCTCTGACCCTTGATGCTCTGCTTCCTGCTCTCCGATCAGCAAGGGCCTCTCCTGGCCTCTGTCCCTTCACTCAGCGTGGCCTCTGTCCCTCCGGTTTTCCAGGTGTCCCCTCCCGTGTGTGGATCCTGGCCTGCATGGCCCTGACCTGGAGCTTGGGGCCTGGCCTGCGGCGTCTGGCACTGTCCGTGCTGGTGAGGGGGGAGCCCCGGGAGCTGCCTGCATCACCTCCTTGCCTGTTACAGCGTGGGACAGCCAGTGGGGTCTGTGCCACGTGTGTGTCCCCGTCTTCTGTTGCACGCGCGGAGAAGTGAGCATTCTTGGCTGAATGGCCTCTGTGTGGTTTCGGAGCCCAGGCAGCACGCACCTGTCCCCGATGCAGCCTCCTCTCTCCATTTCAGTGAAGCGCTATATCCGGAAAGGCATCCCCCTCGAGCACCGGGCCCACGTCTGGATGGGGGTGAGTGGAGCCCAGGCCCAGATGGACCAGAACCCCGGCTATTACCAGCGCCTGCTCCAGGGCGAGCACAACGACAGGCTGGAGGAGGCCATCAGGACAGGTGAGCCGCCCAGGCGGGGGTGTGGGGTGGGCAGCCCCCCAGGACAGTCACGTTCCAGAGGAAACACACATTGTTCAAGAGGCACCTGCTGCTTTGAAGTGGAAATTTTATTTTTCTGAAGGAAAAGCAAAGCTTAAGCATTCCCAGGGGGAGAACAGTGGTTTCCCTTGCTTCTGCAAACTGCGGCATGCCCAGCCAGCAGGTAGGGACCGGGGCGAGGGCAGGACCAGGTTTCTTCCGTGGGGAGCTAGAAGTGGGGGGGGCGCGGCTGCTGAGCCAGTGGTCAGGACTGGGCGGTAATCGGTAATCGCTTGAGGGATTTGTGCTGATGGCAGTGCCCTTGGGCTTAGACACAGTGCTGATGCACACCGTGGCGGCCCGCCCCTGTGTCATACTCCCATCATCGTCTGGGAGTTGATGGGTCCCCAGATTTTCTCAGTGGGACACCAGTTCGTAGATGTGCAGAGTACCCCAGACAATCTAAACTGAATAATTAGATTTTGAGGGTGTGTCTCTGCTTTTCTGACTTTGTTTTTGAGAGATACAAACTTAAACACCAAATCTTTCTAATTTTTCTTTAACTTTTATTTATTTCAGAGAGAGTGTGCACACATGAGTGGGGGTGCAGGGTGGGGCGGGGGAAGCAGGCTCCCTGCCAAGCAGGGAGCCCGACGCGGGGCTCGATCCCAGGACTCTGAGACCGTGACCTGAGCCGAAGGCACAGGCTTCACCGACTGAGCCGCCCAGGCGCCCCACAAAATAATTTTTTAAAACCCAGTTACTTGAATGTGCTGAGAGGTGGGGCTGTGTGCCCAGCCCAAGGAAGGGGGTCCCTCAGCCCTCAAGGCAGCCCCCGCACCAGAGCCTGGGGCAGGAGGGGCCCCCGGGATGCCTCACGTTGGGGGAGGCCTGGGGTCCACAGGAGGGCGCGCGTGTCAAATACAACAGAATATTGCTGCTGTCGGTTAGAAACGTGAATTTAAAGGCTCTGTTTAAGTGCCGGCATTTTTGGATAAAAATTTTTTTCCGTAAAGTGTACGTAACAGAATTTACCGTCCCATCTTCCCAAACTGAAACTCCGTCCCCATTAAACGGCAACGACTTCCCTGCCCCTGCCCGGCCCGGCCTCCTCCTTTCTGTCCCAGCTGAGTGTCACAGGCAGAATCTTCACTGCTGGGTCTGGCTCGCTGGGCTCAGCCGGGGCCTCGAGGTCGTCCGTGTGGCCGCACGTGTCAGGGTGTCCTTCCTTCTCAGGGCTAAGTACCGTTGTCGGGCCGGGTGACGGGCGCTCTAGTCGCCGCCTGCTCTCGCGAGTCTGCTGTCAGGCACCGGAGTCCGAGGACACCTGCTTCCCGTGGTTCGGGGGGTGGCCCGGAAGTGGGACTGCGGGGTCCTGTGGTCGTTCAGAGGGACCAGGCGGGTCCCGTCCCGGGCGGAGGCTGAGGCATTCCCACCACGAGCGAGCACAGCCGGCCGCCCCTTCCACACCTCCTCCCGGGATGGGAAGAGAAAAAAGGTTTCAAAACGAGGACAAGCTCCCAGTGGAGAACAGTGTCGAGGAACCAGCACAGCTGGTCACTCCAGGGTCTGGATTAGTGAAAGACCCCGGTTCCATCCTGGGGGATGCACGCTCCAGAACGTTCAGAATTCTGGAGCAGAAGCTTCTCTGGAAACAAACTGCGACGGGGAGCACCGTGCTCCGGGCGCTGAGCTCGTGGTGCACTCAGGGCTGGGCTCTGATGGGCAGGTGTCCCGCTGGGGCGCCGCGGGCAGGGACAGCGGCCCTGTCCGTCTGCGGTGGGGACACCGGCACAAGCCGAGGCGGGCTCCGGGTGCCTTCAATGGCGCAGCGGGGGGCCGAGGGTCCAGCGTGTCCCCATCCACTCCGGTGATGCAGCCCGCGCGGCAGCCAGTGCGCCGTCATCCCACGTGGGAGAAAGACACAAACCCGCTCCCTCCCAGCCGTGTCAGGGCTGACACCCAGGAGCAGGTGTCGGGTCTGCACCGGCTGCGGGGCAGAAGGCCGGCCGGGGCGTGCCAAGGGCGGAGAGAGGCTGGCCGGGGTATGCGAGGGGCCTGTCCTCTGTGTTCGCTCACGTCCTTTAGCTCTGACAGGGCTGCTCGGTGTGCTTCTGTGTTCAGGATTGGGAGGATTTTCCAGTGCTGTGAGCGGAACTCACCTGGCACCTGGGGTCCTGGAGTTGAGCGCCTCCCGGCTGGGGGGGATGTCAGGGGCAGCGGGACCAGCGCCCTCGGGGAGAATGTGCTGTTGGAGCCGCCTGGGCTGTGGGGCTGCGGCTGGACGGGGAAGGTGATCCCACTGGCACCTTCGTCTTCTGTCCTGATTCTGTGAAGGGCGACCAGGGTCGCCAGACGGGGTTTTAGGCCTCGTCGGAGGTAGACGCAGCGACCGCTCTGTCCCTCACGGGCCAGTGTTCTGTCTCTGCCCTCTAGATGATTCTGTGTCGTGAATTTCCCTGCAGATCTGAACAGGACCTTCCCGGACAACGTAAAGTTCCAGAAGAGCGCAGACCCCTGCTTACAGAAGACCCTGTACAACGTGCTGCTGGCCTATGGGCGCCACAACCAAGGTGTGGGCTATTGCCAGGTGAGCGCCGGGAAACACGTGCCAGCAGGGAAGGTGAGCGCGAGCAGTGCCCCAGTCCGCGGCAGGGACGTTCTCCTGAGCAGTCTAAGTGCCCAGGCCTGCTCCTGAGCTCCCGGCCGCAGAGCCCCAGACGCAGGGCTGTGCCGTTGGAATCAGTACCGCACCTGTTCGGGATTTCTTTTGGTGCCAGCCGTAGGCAGTGGTGAGGCTGGGGAGCAGACGGGAAGTCCCTTATGTGAGCGGAACTCCTGGCCTCAGTGCAGCGAGTGCGTGTGCACATGCCTGTGGGTGTGTGTGCACACGCTCGCATCTGCATGCACACGTGTGTAGCGCGTATGCGCATGTGCATGTGTGTGCGTGTATGTGCGCGTGCACACGACGTGGTGGGCGTCCCTTCCACATCGCTTCGGGTACCCGCTCGCCCCGGTCTTCCCCGCAGCTTCAGGTAACAGCCTCATTACCTGTCGATGGCTGTCACGTCGTGCGATGTGCGGCAGGAAGCAGCAGGCCACGTGTGGACCAATCCTTCCTCCCAGACGTCACTCTGCCCGGGGGGTGGGGAGGGAAAGAGAGAAGGGCCCAAGGGCCCGTGTGGGGACACGTGGGCCTTCCCGCGTGGGCCTGTGCTGCTGGGGCGTGTGAGCGGTCCGTCGTCAGCCCGGCACATGGTGCCCGTGGCTTCCGGCTTGGAGGGGTGGTGCGGCTTCCTGCTCCCCAGCTCCGGCCTCCGCGGCGTCCTGGTCATGCCGGAATTCTCGGGTGGGAAGTCTGCATCGGGCGGCTTGATCGGGGACAGCCATGGGCGAGGCTCGGGTGGGGGCGGGGTGGGGCCTTTCGCAGAAGCCTGTGGCGGAGGTGGGCACGGTTCCGAGCCTCTGGCCCTTGCTGTAGGCAATGCCACTGGGGAGGAGGCCTGGCTGGGCTCTTCTCACCATCGTCACTTAGGGTCCTGGACGAGGACCCGCCTGGAGGGGCTGTGGAGACCTCGCGGTTGGGAAAACACCTGTCCACAGTCTGGCCTCTGCTCTTGTGGTTTTTAGAAACGGCTCCAGACTCTGAGCCGCTCGGGGCTGTGAGCGTGGGTGAGGCCAGAGCTTGTGGGTCACCGGGTTGGGGTGTGCAGGAAGCCGTCCGAGCGGGTGGCGGGCGGGGTCCCTCGGAGGCCTGCAGAGGGCTGCTCCCGGCCCCTGGCCCCTGGTGGTCCCTGACGTGGGCCTCCCACGTCATGTGGCCTCTTCCTGTGTGGGGTGTGTGGGTCCACACTCCTCTCGCTGGCTGTTGGAGAAGCTAACTGGTCCCCCATGACCGGAGGGGAACATGCGTTTTCGAGAACATGGAGACACGGTGGAGGGGCTCGCGGAGGGCGGGTCTGAAAGGCTGTCGCGCCGACGCCGTCCCGGGTGGGCCAGCCCCGGCCTGCAGCTTGTGGGCCCCGTGACGTCCCCCTCCCTGCCACAGAATGTGTCCGCACCACGTGTCAACGCGTTCCTCATGGTGTGGGGGAGGCTCGTTTCCGGGTCTGGTTTCCTGTCTGATGCAGCCACGTGTCTGACCGTCGTAGGATCTGGTCGTGAGCCGGTGCCGGCCCGAGGTGGACGCAGGCAGAGAGACCGCAGGCTTCCAGGCCAAGCCCCCAGGAGCTCCCTCGCACTGAGTGGTGTTTCTGCCTCTTGTGCCCAGTGTGTCACCAGAAGGCCACCCCGGGGTGGCGCAGGTTTCAGGGGCGAGTGAGGGACACGCAGCTCGTGGTGAGCAGCTGAAGGTCCCCGAGCCTCGAGGGGCTCAGATGTCCTCTTCTCCCTTCAGGGCATGAATTTCGTAGCCGGATACCTGATCCTCGTCACCAAGAGTGAGGAAGAATCCTTCTGGCTGTTGGATGCTCTCGTGGGAAGGATTCTGCCGGGTACGTGGACCGCTCCCGCCACGGGCCCTCCCCGACCCGGGCCCGCTGCCCTCGCGGCAGCCACACTGGCTGGGAGGGTCCGTCCGGGAGCGGGATGGGCTTATTGGGAAAACGAGCACCGCAGGGGCCTTGTGCTGCTTCCGCACACTGCGTCTCGGAGCTGGAATCCTCAGTGTTGGGGGCCTGGCCCCGGTTCCCCACCTGAACCATCGTGGGGAGCATCGTGGACCCCCGTGCAGGTGCCGCGGCATGCGGGGGAGGCCGCCTGGCCCCGTGCAGACTTGGTCCCAGGGTCGAGACCCGTCCTCAAGAGTCCGCAGCACTGCTGCTGTTACGGAGGTGGAAATCGTTCTTTTCACGCGTTTCTACTTTTCTCTTTATTAACTAATTTTAACTGTTTTAATTACAGGTGAATCATCAGTTTACTTGTTAATAAACACCACTGGTTTTGGCGGTGCGCGGTGTAGATGGAGCTCGCTCTGGGGAGAGACGTGGCAAGAGCCGTGGTGGGTCGGGGAGGACCCGTGCCCTCCGCGGCTGTGACGGGGGTGGAGACCGCGCACAACCTCCCGTGGGGCCAGGTTGTGGACTGGCGTCCCCCCGCAGAGTGGGCCAACCATGTGGCGGTGGGCACTATGGCTTCTGCCCCGTGGCACACAGCACGTATCGGCGTCAGGACAGCCGTGCCACACAGCCTGATGAGCGAATCCATTTTACAGATGAGGACAGTTGAGGCCTCCACCCCATGATTGTCAGACCTTGGCCCGTGTCTCACGGAAGCGTGAACCAGAGTGGCTTCGGGACAGGAAGGAAGCCTCCAGATGGGGCCTCCTCTTGCTCCTGTGCCGTCATCCACGAGCGTGCCAGCACCCGTGCCGGTGACCTGCCGTGATGGGTCACCTTTGAGGAAGGCACGAACCCTGGATGTCCTGGCTTCTTCGTGGGGCCTGCGTTGTGGGGGCAGGAACAGCGAGGAAGCTGGGGCAGGACGCCCGATGCTGTGGTGACAGAGACTGAACGGTGAGGCATGTTTGCGTCCCGCACCGGGACGTCTGCACGGGTTTGTCGAGAACCTGCCGCGTCCCAGCGTTGCTCTGGGGGCCTGGACTCGTCTGGGGAGGGAGCGTGAACGGCCTGCCCGGGCTCAGTGCGTCCCAGGAGAGCAGAGCCGGTGTCAGGAGAGGACAGGCACCAACTTGGAGAACAAGAGGGGCTCCCGGCTGACCCTCTGTCAGCCCGTGAGGTCATTTCCTACTATCACGAGGTGCCGTTGAACCAAACCGCAGTATGCGCAGGTCTTGATTCAAAACCAAAACATCCAAATAGAATGGCCAGGACGGAAGGGGACAGGAGGCGTGGCGCGTGGGCCAAACAACCCGGACGGCTCCAACGCCAGCGTCCCGCGAGGAGCTGAGGTGGCGGCGAGGATAGACGAGAACCTCGGCCCGTGCCGCACGGTCCCCTCCTCCCCGCAGGCAGGTGCCCGTGCTGCGCGGGCTCCTGGGGCTCACGCACACACGCGCTCACAGACCACGCAGTGAGGACCGGCAACACGGAACAGGAGCCGTCGGAAAGATAAGCAGACACGAAAGCTGGTTTTTTGGAAAAAGCAATAGAACAGGCAGGACTGGCCCAGAAAAAGTGGGCGACGTGGGGCGCCTGGGTGGCTCAGTGGGTTAAAGCCTCTGCCTTCGGCTCAGGTCATGATCCCAGGGTCCTGGGATCGAGCCCCGCATTGGGCTCTCTGCTCAGCGGGGAGCCTGCTTCCTCCTGTCTCTCTGCCTGCCTCTCTGCCTGCTTGTGATCTCTGTCTGTCAAATAAATAAAATCTTAAAAAAAAAAGTGGGCGAGGCATTTAGAAATGAAGAGAGTGCTGGAGTTTGGGATTAAGAGCTCCAAGAGAGTATGAATGAAACGAAGAGGCCGGATGGAGAACAGGAAACGCCTCACAAAGCTGACGGAGGGAGCCGAGAACGTCTGGGAGGACCCGCGGCAGACACGCACAGTCGCATCAGACCTCAGAGGAACTGATCATTTCTTCATCGGTTTTGCAGAAAATAGAGGAAGAAACGCCCGTCTGCTCCCGACATGGGGCCCGTAGCACCTTGCCCCGTGCCGGCTGACCTCGTGTGTGCACACAGCCACACTGGCAGAGCGGCAGCCGCCGGGATCCTGACGGGCTACGGGGTCTCTCGGGGTGCAGGAAGGCCTAACTGAGAAGCTCGAGGGCAGCGTGAAGCCACCCAGGCTGGAAGGAGCCCCGGGCACGCGCCCAGATGCTGTGGTTGTGGAACGCTGTGGTGTCCGGTCAGTGGTGCACGGCCCGGTGCTGAGGCAGAAACCGGTCTGCCCACGCGCAGGCCTGCGGGAGCCGGTACGGGAGACAGGTCAGTGGGGAAAGACGGGCCGTCAGCAGCTGCGTGTGACAGCTGTCTGCCTGGAAGGAAACAAGGTTAGACCTTATTTCTACTCCGGGTGAACTCAGGACGTGTGTGGAAAAGCAGACTTGGACCTGAGAACACAGACGTACAGTGGCTTCACGGGCGCAGAGCACAGACGACGTTCGTGCACGAAATTCTGCGGAAGAGGCGACGGATGATCTCAGTTACTTGAAAACGAAGAACAGACTTTGACACGAGACATCGTAAGCAAAGCAAAAGGAGAAGCTGCAGTTTGCGGGAGGGCGTCTGGCCGTGAAGCTGCGCCTGGAGACTCTCTACGCTTCAGCAGAAGCCGCTCCGCGGAGATCCGTCCGTTGGCAACGGGGTGCGCGCGGCTGGCCGGGGTCTCTGGCGAGCAGTCGGCCCGACGCAGACGGCGGGGCCTCAGCCGCCAGCGGCCGCCGCCCTGGGCCGGGGGCACCCCAGTTTCAGCATTGGCCTAGGGTAGGAGACCTGTTCTGGGACGCCAGCGCGAGGTGTCTGTGCGCACCCAGCTGGGCCTGCACGCCCAGACCACGGGGACGTGGGCGGCCTCTCCTGGGTCGTCACCACTGAAACCCAGACCTCTAGCGGGAGGAGGAGGGACAGGTGGAGGCCTCCTGGGCCTGCAGCTCCCAGGTGCTGACAGCGCTGTGACCTCGGGATTGCGGGGAGAGCGCTGTCGTGGGGTGGTGGCCTCCTGAGAAGCGAGTGGCAGCTGTTGCCGCTGCAGGCACAGGCAACAGGTGGTTCGTAGCCCAGCGCAAGCGAAGTGGCCCGGGGAGGACCCGGGCAGCGCGATGGGGAGGCTCAGGGGTCCCGGGTCGCAGAGGGGCGGGCCTGCGTCTCGAGTCCCGGGGTGAACACACCCTGGACAGTCGTCCCCCTGCACCTTGTGGGCTGCGCCCCCTGCCTGCGGGCCAGGCCTTCGCTTTCTCGTGGGGCCAGAGAGCACGGGTTTTGGAATTTGATTCTGCCTGCTCGGACCTGGCTCGGCCGCTCGCTCCTCAGCCGTTGTCCCACGGCCCTTTCTCGTCTGGGCGCCCGCCCCCCGCCGCCCGGCTCAGCCCTCTGATGCGCCGACGTGGCCATGAGGCCGTTTGCAGAAGCGTGCCGCCCCCGGGACAGCCTGACGTGGGGCCCGGATCTGGGCCACGTAGGAGGCTCCTCTGTTCCGGGCTTCACTGAGCGCTGGGTCTTCTGCTCAGACAGGCCAGAGGCACAGGGTCCGTCTGCCTTCGCATTCCAGTGCGATGCAGGGAGGAGGGAGGGTCTAGGCGCTCCTGCCCTGGTGACTGGCCTGGGCCCGTGGCCGTCTGGGCACGTGTTCAGCGGCTCTATTTTTGGAGGCTGCTGTAAGCCTCTCTGGGGCCAGGAACGAGGCCACCGTGCTCGGGAGCTGAGCAAACCCTCTTACCCGTCCAGGGCTTAACCCCGGCTCCCTCGGGATGTGGCGCAGAGAACTGGGTCGCGAGCAGGACACTTGAAGGAACAGAGACTGTTGTCGTCTCGCCGGGGGGGCCGGGGTGGCCGGGGTGGCCCTCAGTGTACGAGGAGCCAGATGCAAGAGGAGGACGGGGGCAGGGAGAACTGAGGATGCCTGGTGTTTTGCCACCGACTTGGCGTCTATGAAATCATTTCCTGGGTCCTTTATCACACGTGGCCTGCCTCGGTAGATCTGTAACGGGATGTGGCATCGTGTCCGTTTTGTAGGGACCCTGTTTTCACCGGGCCAGTTAAAGAATGTCTCATCCCTTTGCCCCGGTGAACGGCCACGGTGTGCAGGGGCAGCCCGACCAGAAACTGGCACAGTGCCGCGTTTCCGTATTTTACTACGTACATGACTTCCTGAATTTCAATAGTAAAACTAAACACTAAAATATAACATGTCGCTTGATGAGCTAGAAAGGATGGGTGCGCATCCCGAGAAGACGTGCAGTGGGAGGTGTGGTTCCGTCTCGCGGCCACAGGTGCCCAGGCCCTGGGACGGCGGAAATCACCGGCATGTGTCATGTTTTCTGGGCTCCTGTGGCCACCGAGGAATGTCTCCAACATCAAGCCGTCCGTTTTCCTTGGGAATGAACAGGACAGACTGTAGACCTCACATTGTCCTTCTGTGGTCAGAGGGCTCCTTCTAGAATTCTGGGAAATGTACTGTCCTGGGCCCTCGAGTGTGCAGACAGCATGTAGGCCTGACTGTGAGGTGACAAGCCCGTCGGGCTCCAGGTGTAGACATCTGTGGCCAGAGTCTTGTCCTCTGTGAGGCTGCCTGGACCCACGGCTGCCCTGGCTCCCGGGAAGGGGCTCCCTGCTGCACTGTCCCCAAGGGTGCGGTGGCCCCAGGCCTGCCCCTGTGCCCCACAGCCTCCTCTAGCTGGGCAGCGGGTGGGCGGGCCCCGGCGGCTGGGTCCGACTTCGTGTGAGTATGTTGGCTCCGGGGCCTGCTGTTTGCTGAGCACAGTGTCCTCGTGGTTCGCCCACGTGGTAGCAGGTGTCAGGGTCCCCTTCCTAAGGCTGGGTGCTAACCCACTGTGTGCACAGTGCACCTCTCTTACGCGCTCCCCTGGGGGCAGACACAGACTTGCGTCCTCCGTGCGGTGGTCGTGGGAACTGCTGCTGTGAACACGCTGCGGGGAGACCCCACATCCAGTGGACTCTCGCTGCCGCACGGCAGGGCCTCGCTGTCCGGAGGGGCTGCTCTGGGAGCCGCTCCAGGGCTCCTGGCGTCTTGCCGCGGAGGCTCCCTGGAACGCTCCGCTTCCCCTCCCAGCAGAGAGGGGGCCAGGGACGCAGTGCCTGGGTTTCATCTCTCGTCCGTGCGGCAGATTACTACAGTCCCGCCATGCTGGGCCTGAAGACAGACCAGGAGGTCCTGGGAGAGCTGGTGAGGACCAAGCTGCCAGCGGTGGCAGCCCTGATGGACGGGCACGGTGTCCTGTGGCCCCTGGTGGTCTCGCGCTGGTTCATCTGCCTGTTTGTGGACATCCTGCCCGTGGAGGTGAGCGCGGCATGTGCCTTGCTGGGACTGGGGCTGCCTGGGTCGCCCCCCCACCCCATGACACGCTGCGTGCTTCTCTGCAGACTGTGCTCCGGATCTGGGACTGTTTGTTTAACGAAGGGTCCAAGATTATCTTCCGAGTGGCCCTGACCCTGCTCAAGCAGCATCAGGCCTTTATTTTGGAAGGGACCAGCGTGGTGGACATCTGCGAGAGGTTCAAGGCCATCACCAGGGGCAGTTTTGTGACCGAGTGCCACACCTTCATGCAGGTGAGTATCTGGCCGGGCTCTGCCGCCCGGTAGTCTGGGGGAGAACCCTTCTGCCTGTCCCTGGCCCCTCTGGGCCTCTGCCTCTGCTGGCCCCTCAGACCTCGTAGACCCACCTCCTCCTGGAGCCCCACGACAATGGGTGCCACCCCTGCTGGGCTGCAAGCCCCATGGTGGCTCCAGGGCTGCTGGGATCCCCGTTGGGCCGGCCCAGGTTCCCCGGGTCAGAGCACAGTGCCTTCTGATCCGCTGTCCTCTTGGAGCCCTTCCCTTGCTGCTGGTGTCTCTGGTTCTGGATAGCTGTCCTTAGCCCCACTGGGGTCGCACGGTCTGTTGTCTGTCCTCCCCTGAAGGATAGTGCCCTCAACAGGGTCCTGGACCCGGTACGGCCGTGTAGATCACTCACCTGCTGAGTAAGTGAAGCTGGAGCTCAAAGGACTGACAGGCCTTCCAGGAGGCTGGGAAAGGCAAATTTTGGGTTTCCACTTTCCCACCTGAAAGGATCACCGGTGCAGGGGTGGGTGGCAGAGGGTGCTGGGAAGGCCAGGGGCCAGGGGGTTCTGCCCCCTGCCCAGGAGGGAGCAAGCCGCTAGCTCCACTTGGGGCACTGGCTGCTAGCTGTCAGGTGGCCTTCTGCAGGCGGAACGCCCTAGAGTCGAGGATGCTGCCCGTGCTCCATGTGGAGTCAGGCAGCCCCGGGGCCCCCTGCACAGAGCCGGAGAGCAGCTGGGGTCTCTGCCCAAGGGGTCGGAGGATGGGGGCCCCTGCTCAGGCCAGCCCCGAGGACATGGGATGAGCTGAGTGTGGCTGCTGTGTTGGGGACCCTGGTCACCAGGGGCTATAGCGTTTTCTGAATGGTGGGGTATAGATGGGGAACAGGATGGCAGCCGACTCACTGCGAGGCTGGTCATGCAGGACCGGATGCCTGGTCCAGAAGGGATTCTCTGTCTTGCAAGCCCTTTGGTGCCAGTGTTGGGGGCAGCCAAGCAGCAGAGGGCAGGGGCAGGCATCTGGGAACGAGTCTGCAATCCTGTGTCCAGGAGTTCATAAGAGCAGGAACGCTGCCCTGAATGGGGCACCGGGGGTTTCTGTTTGAGATGGGGTTCTCCCTTAACACAAGTGATGGCTGGGGGGCCTCTGGGCCGTTCCCAGGTGTGCAGCCATCACCCCTGCACCCACCCAGCAGCCCCCCATGTGTGTGTGTGTGGGGTCGCCTCCGTGTGGGACTCTAGCTGAGGACACACACGCTCAGGGGCACTCGCACGGGCGTTCCCATAGCTGGCCGAGGGCAGTGCGGACGAGCAGGAGGCCTGCTCCCCAGTGTGCCCGCGGCGACACGACACCGCTGCACGGCCTCACAGAGCGCAGACACACCCCTTCGAGGGATGTCGTCAGGGACACGGCCCTGGGTTTCTGCATTAAAGCACGTCAGCACGGTAACTGCAGCTCATGTGTCAGTCCGCACAGGGACATCTAGAATGTTCTGGAGAATAAAGTGGTGACCTTGCACGAGCTCAGGGCAGCCATCCTGGTGTGGAAACAGCTCCACGCCGATGTCCCGGCGCCCGGCAGAGGACGCGCCTGACCCCTTCGGGAACGTGGCCAGTTGGAACGCAAACACTCCACCCGGACCTTAGGGCCGGCGGAACACGCACCTGTAGGAGAACTTCTGAAATTTCTTTAAAAAAACCTTTTTAATGCTAGCCTTGCGTGTGGCCTAGTTTGTAACTGAATTTCTCAGCCATAACCGCAGAAATAATTACGGAGCATAAAGGGTGTGACGGCCTGGCCCTCTGCTCCCCACGGGCTCGGTCAGGCAGCCTTGGAGCCGCCCCGCGCCCTCGGGGTTCAAGGGTCCGCTCGAGCGCCCCCATCCCCCGCACAGTGCAGCAGGGCTGAGGCCCCTCACCTGGGTGGGGGGGGACGCGCTGAGCTGGTTTCTTAAACGGATTCTGTTTCTGTTCCAGAAGGTGTTCTCCGAGCCTGGGAGCCTGTCCACGGCCACCATCCGCAGGCTGCGTGCGAGCTGCCGGGCCAGGCTGCTGGCACAGGGCTGACCGGGACCCTGCCCGCGGCCACCGCGAGGCCTCGTTTCCAGGGCCCACCAGCTTTTGCTGCCTCCCTTTTTAGTGCTGAGACTACTTGGTCTCTACACTGGTGACTCTTTAAAAAGAACGACTTGGCATAACGTCCTTCTCTAAGTCACGGCCCACGAAGTCCTAGATTTCTAAACTGTTTGTACTGGACACGTTCATCCGTGAAACGGGAGACGCACGTACTTGTAATAAACTGCGGCAACACTGTGAGTGTGTGGTTCTCTGTCCGCTCGTCGGCTGGCTGAACGCGGAAACGGGCCGCAGACTGTCGGCGGCGTGGCTAGCGCCCCCAGTCCTCTGTCCCCTCCCAGGGCGTGTCTAGTGGTCCCCGAGGTCTGTGCACACGGCATGTGACCGCTTTAGACGGGCATTGCTCAAAACGGCTTCTGGAATTACCACGTCCCACGAAGAAAGCAGATGAAGGAGGTGAGCCTTGGGGACGGCAGACGGCCGCCTTGGGCCCGTGAGTGCCAGCTGCAGCTGCGGTCACCCCGGGTCCCTGGAGAAGACCCCTTTCTCCCTGGCCCCGACGGTGGCACTGGCTCTGGCTGCGGAGAGAGCCCTGCATGGGAGAGGGGTTACCTGTCAGCCCCCCTGTGGCTGCGGGTCACCCCTAACAGGAAGTGCAGCCAAGGCACTGAATGATGGCGGCTGTGCCGACGGCAAGGGGCCTGGCTGTCCTTGCTCCCAGCGCAGCCACAGCAGAGGCCCGGCCCTTCCCTGGTGTCACAGAGGACACTGCACTGGGCCAAAACTGCACGCAGATGCTCTCATAGGGAGGAGGTGGTGGCTAGGGCAGGTGGCCGGAGTCTGGGGAGTCCCGGAGGCTGCCCCCGTGGCACAGTCCAGTGCGGGCTCGCCGGCGTGGGGTGGGCACAGCTGCCCGGCAAGGCCTGACACACAGCAGCCAGGTGGCCCCGACCCCCTCCCAGGAAGCAGCTCTGGGGCAGGCCCCGGCGCAGGTGTGCAGGCGCTGCTCTGGGACGCTGTGGTCCCAAGGCTGCTTGGCAGGAAGACAGGCGTCAGCCTCAGTCCCCACCGGCAGGTCCACGAATCCTTGGAGGGCACAGGTCTTCGCTTTAAAAAGGTTAAAACAAACCTTAGGCTTCAGCCCCTGCTCTCAAAGTGCGGAGCACGGCGGGAGGGGCTCCTGCTGCCACCACCTGGGGGGGGGATGAAGGTGGCCCTTCTCCGAAGGTGGGGGCCGCAGGATCCTCCTTGTGGTGCGGGTGGGACGCCGCGCTGCCGCCGCTGAGTCCCGACTGCTGCTCTCCTTCCAGCCGCCCGGCGGACCAGCGGCCACACCAGCTCTCCCGACAGCCGGGGGCACGGTGCACACCTGCCCGCCACCGCCCCTCTTCGTCGAGACCTCGCGTGAGAGCAGACAGAAGCACGAGGTCCAGACCAAGAAAGAAAGACACGTTTTATTAGCATTGTTACAGCGACGCGCGACGTGCAGGGTCCTCAGTGCACAGCCGCCCGAGCGGGTAGAGCGGAGCGCGATACCCAGTGTTTACACAAGTGCAGCACAGGCTCCCCCTGGGCCTCCAACAGAAGACTGAGAATCACTGTACAAAAAGGTAAATAAAAATAACACCCATTTATCTATTTTAAAAAAGTGCCGGCTCTCGAGTGGCAGAGCACGGAAAGGCCAGAGGCGCGGGGGCGCCCGTGCCCAAGGACTGAGCCGCGCGGCCCGGGGGCAGGTGGCCGGGCCTGTCCTGGCTTCTACAGCTTAACTGAAGCGTTCCAGATTTTCACCTTTTGGAGTACTTCTGTTTTAAGATCTTTCTCTACTAGTTTCTTAACCAGACTAACACCTAGCCAGCCTTCCTCAGAGGTCCTAAGGTTGAGACCAGGGACCCCCCTTGGCGAGGCTGAAAATCTCAGTCAAGAACAAAGAGGCCAAACACCAGAATCTTAAAAAGCCAAATACAGCGGAGCCGGTGCCCTCTCAGAAAAGCACTCTTACCCTCCCCACCTTAAAGTTCTACTTTGGTAAATATTAACGCTGAACCGTTAGCAAAATATTTAACCCAGTTAGCAAAATTAACGCCGTCATTTCAGAGTTACTCTTGTGCATAGTAAATGTTGCAAGATGAACTTCACATTGGATAAAGCAGATTTGAAAATCAGTTTGCGAGAAAGTGTGTCTCCCTTAACACCCATCTAAGCTCAGGGGAACGAGCAGAGGCCCCGCAGCGGCGGCCGGTCCGCACCTCTCGCGGCCGCGCTAGATGGTCTGGTAGCCGGCGTGGCTCCTCTTCCTGCCGATGAGGTAGGCGATGAGGACGATGAGGACCAGCCCGGCCAGGGCGCCCCCCACGGCGATGGGGATCAGCATGCTGTTCTCGTCCAGCTGGCACTCCTCCACTGCGGAGACACGGAGCACACACGCTCGCGCCAGCTGTCCCTGCGCGACCTCATGGGCGCCCCCCCCCCCCGCCCCTGCCCACAGCCCGGCCGGGAGGACGGAACAGCACAGACTCATCGGCCACCGCCCGGACGCCGCAGCCCGTGTGCCAGCAATCCCATATCCTGCTTTCACGGGGAAGACACGTGCCAGCTCTTAACGTGACCTCCGTTCCCATGGCACCCCGTGCCCACGTCTGCGACGCTGGGCCTCTCGAAAGCAAGGCGATGTGGGAAGGGGAGTCCGCTCTGCTGAGTGCCTCAGCTGCCCACCCAGGAGCACAGCCGGCAGGCCCGTGCGGAGTCTGCAACGCTGCCCTCGGGGCTACTCACCAGACCCAAAGTTGTCGCCTTGCACCTGGAATGCCTGGACCCACACTTTGAAGATGTTGACGGAAAAGGCCTCTGTGACCTGCACGCGCTCCTCCGCGTTACACTTGTACGAATTCCCGATGGAGGCCTGAAGGGCCCTCAGAGAGCTGTTGGAGGCCTTAAAGGTGGGCTCTGCAAAGGCAGGGGAGAGTAAGTGCTCTGGGGCGCCTGGACGGGCCGGGCCGGGGGTGCTGTGGGGGTCTCACCTCTGGCGTCAGGAAGAGTCATATTCAACTGGATTCCTTGCAGGAAATACCGGCTTGTACTCGCGTTCTTAAAGAGAAGACGAGAGCCCTGAACCACCCGCCAGACTCCCGCGCTAGCGTCCCACCTGAAGGGCCGTCTGGTGGGACGCCGGACCCTGCCTGCGTTCCTCGCTCCAGCATGAAGCTGTGGGGTGCGCCGTCTGTTAAAGGCACGGCGTGCCCCTCGAGAATGAAATGTGGATTCGTTCCCTCTAGACCATTTTACAGAATCAGCCTCTGCTCCAACGGGGACTGCACGAGTCCTACTCTACGGAAGCGGGCTTTTCCCAATGCCGCCGTGCTCGTCCGCAGAAACCCAGCGGCCGCTCGGCTCATGTGCGGTGTGTGTGGTCAATGCCCACCGACGGCACGGCCCCTCTCCGTGTGGTTTTGCTAACGTCACAGAGGAGGCGTCCCCGACGGGCGTAAGGAAGGGAAGAGCCAGGAGCAGCGGCGCTGTCCTGCCACCAAGTGCGGGGACGACAGTGCGTGAGGGGGAGGCCGGGCCGAGCGCAGCAGGCTAGTCCCCCGTCTGCCATGTCAAGAACCAACCAAGACGCTCCTTCACGGAAACAGGACGGGGGCGGGGGCGGGGGCCCAAAACACCAGTAAGAAAAAGAAGGCAGAGAAGCAGACGCCCCCTTCCGCACAAAGGCAGAGCTGTGGATTTCCGCCCCCACCAGCGCACAGGGCCCTCAGCTCCGCCGCCGCGCAGCAGCAGGCCAGAGGGGACGGGAGAAAGAGCCACAGCGGGCGGCAGAACAAGGCTCCACCCGGTTGACACCAAAGCCTCCAGGCTGCAGGGGAGCCGGAGCCTCACCATTCCAAACTGGAAGGCCAGGAGGGGGACGCTGTCACTGCGCAGCTCCAGGGTCACCAGCTGGGGGCCGCAGCTCCCCCCGACGGTGGTCTTATTCGGGTTGATGCCGAACACTCTCGTCACGGTCTGAGTGAGGAAAGCAAAGGAGTTACCCTGCGGGGTCCTGCCCTGGCTCCGCCCACTCTGGGAAAGAGAAAAGGAATCTTAAAACAGGAACTTCAAGGCCACAATCATTTTAACCAAAACTGGAAGGAAAACATCTGAAGTTCACTCTAGCGCAGATTTCTGGGTTCCAAAACCCTTTTCCCTGCTCCTCCGGTTGCTGTTTTCACAAGGACGCACACCCGGCCCTCCGCCCCGTCTCCGGAAAGCTGCCCGCTTCACACCCGTCACAGGCATGTGCCCTGCAGTCCTGAAGACGTGGTCACCAGCAGAGAGAGTTATTATTTCAAAAGAAAAGCATAAAAAAAGTTGGAGCAGTGAAGTTTAAAGCAAAATTTAACATTCTCTTAGGGATCAGTAAACTTGTCCCAAAGAATATGCCAAGTGACAGGCGTCTTCAGCTTTGGGGACCACCTACCACTCCCTGATTCTGTCTCAGGGAGCAGCAGCCTTGCCCTGCGTGCGGACAGATGGGTACGGCCGTGGGCTGAGAAGCCGACCAGAGCTCGGACTTCGTTCAGACTCACACGCGGGGCCCTGCTGCTCCCGGACCAACCCTCCACACACAGAAAAAGGGCTCTGGGGGCTGAGCCTACCGTGTTGTCCTCCTTCTTGTAGGTGACGTTCAGCTGCAGGCCCATGCTGGCCAGCAGGCAGGTCCCGTTGGCGCCGCTCACGTTGTACTTGTACACAGAGGGGCTCTCGGGCGTTGGGGATGGCGAAGGGTGGGGAGGCGGCGGCGGCGCCGTTGTTGGGAAAGGCCCGTCTTGCTCACAGCGCGTCTCTGCACAGACAAGAGGGCAGACAGACAAAGTCCTAGTTCCTCATTCTACAGGGAGCTTTGGCACCCCCGCAGGTGCTCAGCGAGCCCCCTACGCAGAATGTGATTTCTCGGTCTGCCCGGGGACGGCACACGCCAACCCACGCTCCAAGTACGGGACAGGTGGGCG